GGGAGATGGGGTGAGGGTTCAATGGGATAGAGGACTGGAGGTGGGGGTGAGGTGTGGGGGTGAATGGGATGGGGGAAAGGAGTGCAGAGGTGAGGCGGGAGAGTCCTGTCACCGAAGAGGCTGGACTTTCCCTGGCAGGCTCAGCCGCACCTGGGATGTGGAAACCTTGGCTGGGGCGAGCACCCAGGCCATTTTCATGAGCAGCAAAACAAAAACAAAACTTCAGTTGATTTCCAATCACTCAGCATGCTGCTTCTTTATAAATCATTTTAAAGTGATTTCACTAATAAAATTCAGCATGTACAGCGTTTCATTCTTAATGTACACGTGTTAAAGCATAATGTTACATACATTATGGAAGGTGCATAGTGAGAGAAATCATTTCCATAATATATCAACTTCCTGGCTAAAAATTCTTTGGATAAAATCCAATATTTATTTTATATCAATGGACACCCATGTCAATATGGTTTTCACTGAGGGACCTTAGAGGGAAACTTTGAAGTGGGAAGGTGGTCTGTGTTCTTGAACAGAAAGACACATTTTTCTAAAGCTCTGAGCTCTTTCTGTGTTTGTAAATTTTACATAATCCAAATAAAGTTATCAGAGTGTTAAAATTACTCGTGCTGTCTTTTACTATTGTGATGGCATTAAGAAAACTTTTGAAACGGAGTCAGAAAGACTTGCCTTTCTAGATATGAAAATGTGCTTAATTTCCACAAGTTATTTACTAACAGCTGAAACAACAAATCAGTGAATGGAACAGGTTAGAAAATCCAGGAACACTCCAATATGTGTAAGAATTTATTAGGTTGGTGCAAAAGCAATTGCGGTTTTTGCCGCAATTAAAAGTAATGGCAAAACCGCAATTGCGTTTGCACCAATCTAATAGAATTCGATAATGGTGACATTTCATATTAGTAGGAAAAGATGAATTACTCATAAATGAAGTGCCTGCTAACTATTTGGAGAAAACTGGCTAGATTTTTATGTCACAGAAATAAGTTCGTTATGGAATGTAGATTAAACATTTTAAATGCACAAAATAAGAAAGATAACAGAAAAAACACAAATGCCTACTTATATTGATACATGTTTATATTCCTATAAATATCACAAGCACACATTCTGAGGGTCAATTTAGCAAAATAAAAAATTAAAACCTCCTGTTTATAAGAAAAAATTAACAAAAGACAGTATGTACGTATACATAATAGATAAAAAAGTGATTTTCATTTTACAGCGAATTCTTCAAATCAACAAGAACTCTCATTTAAAGTAGAGCAAAGCACTTTTTTTTCAGATATTCAAGCAACCTATGCACATAGGAAAAAATATTCAGTGTTCCTGGGAGGAGAAGGTATTTAAGTTAAAAAAGGAGTGAAATTCTGTTTTCTATCCACAAGTTTGTGAGGGTAAAGAGTTAGCAGTACATACACTGCTATTTAAAGTTTACATTTCCGATGACTTTTCAAATAGACTATTTGTTGGTAAGTATCACACTCTAAAAATGTATGTGCCCTTCACCCATCAATTCCATTATACTAAAATATCCTAGGAAATAGAGATACATGCAATTTGTTTTTCTCAGCACTGCTTAAAATAGCAATGTATTTGGAAAACCCCTTATAATGGATTTTATAAATTTTATAAATTTATCAATAAATTTCAGTGCATCCATAGGATGGGACAATATGGGACCTTTGCAGGTGTCAGTGGATAAAGATGTATGTTGAGGTGTGAAGATGTACTTTGAAGAGAAGTTGGTTTGATTATACATATACACAAACAGTCTATGGTGTTTGTAAGCCAAATGTGTGTACAAAATATAACATTTCTTCTTTTCTGGCAGGTGTATTGTGATGTTTTTTCTTATCCGTGATGTATAAATGATCAGTATGTTTAAAACTTCTAATAAATGTTTTTTACTAATGAAATTATCCTTGGAAAAAGAAGAAATTTAAATCTTGCACAGAAAAAAATAATTTTCACTTTCTATTTTATTTTATTATTTATTTATTTGTTCATTTGTTTATTTTTGAGATTGAATCTTGCCTTGTTGCCCAGCCTGGAGTGCAGTGGTACGATCTCAGCTCACTGCAACCTCTACCTCCCAGGTTCAAGTGATTCTGACACCTCAGCCTCCTGAGTAGCTGGGATTACAGGTGTGCGCCACCATGCCCGGCTAATTTTTGTATATTTTAGTAGAGACATGGTTTCACCATGTTGGCCAGGCTGGTCTCAAATTCCTGACCTCAGGTGACCCCCTCCACCTCAGCCTCCCAAAGTGCTGGGATTACAGGTGTGAGTCACTGTGCCTGGCCTTATTTTTATTTTTTTGTTTATTGGTATCTTCTATGAACTTTTAGCCTCTTCAGAGGTAAAGGGAATATTTTTATTTGTGCTTATTTTATTATGC